GTGTTACTACTACCTAAAGCTACAACAAATTTAAACAGCACTTTTCAGTGCTCAACCTGTAAAAAATTTTCTACCTTGTTCAACTCTTATTCCTCTTCGATCCTTGTTTGGACCCTACCCGAGGTAATCCTTCTTGGATATCGATTTGGAAAATTCCTCTTCGATCCTTCAGATTCTTATAGTAATCTGCTTGGAAGTCGATTTGGATAAAAATTTACTGCCGCCATGGCGCCTAAACGCAAAAGAAAGGGGCAAACTCTTGACCCCCCTTCTGATGAAATTAATTTGAGTAATCAATTTGATTTGCTCACGGATGATGAGAATGATCCATCATCCAAGAAAAATTCTAGTAAACTTTCCCGGCTTAATGCCAAGAAGGAAAAGATTCCCCCTATTGTAATAACCACTTCCGATTTCCATGCTCTTCGCATGGAACTTTTGAATTTCGTGAAAGTTAAGTTTTCACTACAAATTGGACGTCGGGGTGAATGCCGTGTATTGGCTGAAACCTTGGACGGATTTAAATGTCTTCTCAAGTATCTTACTGAGAAGAAGCACAAATTTTTTACTTACGACACCAAAACTGAACGTGTGTTCAAGGTTGTCATGAAAGGACTGCCCAGTGGTGAATCCCTGGATCAGATCAAAGATGAACTGGCAAAATTACTTGGAGTTGTGCCACTCCAAGTAATCAAAATGAAAATGAAATCCCGTCCTGGCGATTCGCGCAACGGGATTTCTAATGATTTTTATTTAGTTCACTTCAAGTCTAGTGAACTAAACAACCTTAAGGCCTTAGAAAAAGCTAGCCTTATGCTCCATGTCCGAGTGAAGTGGGAACACTTCAGGAAGACTGGAGGAAATTTCCAAAACCTCACCCAGTGCCGTAAGTGCCAGGGATGGGGTCACGGAACTAAAAATTGCTACATGCCAGCTAAATGCATGAATTGTGGTGATTCCTCTCACGCAAAGGACGACTGTCCTGTGAAGGAAGATCCTAAGAAATTTAAATGTTCAAATTGTGGTGAAAACCACAAATCCAATTTTTGGGAATGTAAGACTCGCAAAGCGATCCTACAATCTCGTTCTAGCCGTCAGGTAGGAAACGCTCCACGTTTCCGACCAGGTACAAATTCCTCTGCTGTTAACAACGGTCAGCTAGGAACAAATTCTACATTCGTACCCGTAGGTACAAATATCTCCCCTGCTTCAAATGTTTCATCTGTACCTACTCCCCTCGCTGCTAACAATGTTCAGCGAGTTAATGGAGCTACCTATGCTGCTATTGCAGCGGGTAGAAATCAAAATACTAACCAACGTTCTAACGGAAATTTTGACAATTTTGACTTAGGAAGCATTACTGCCCCCAAAATGGAATTTTTACAGAATTCATTAATTGACATGATTTCTGATATGCTTAAATCTAACTCCATGTTTGATGCTATTCAAACTGGAGTAAAATTTGCAAATAATATTGTCATGACTTTAAAATTCAGTAATGGATTTTAAAGCATTAAATATTGTAAATTGGAATGCTCGATCTTTTAAAGATAATGAAGACGAGCTATTTAATTTTTTAAGAGTTCATAACGTGCATATTGCCGTTATAACTGAAACGTTCCTTAAACCTGACCATAAGGTTAAGAAGGACGCAAATTACTTGATTTATAGAAATGATCGTCTTGATGGACCCTGTGGTGGCGTTGCCATCATTATTCATAGACGAATCAAACATAAAATTCTTTCTTCATTTGAAACCAAAGTTTTTGAAACTTTGGGGGTTTCTGTTGAAACAAAATTTGGACAACTTACGTTTATAGCTGCCTATTTGCCATTCCAATGCGTAGGCCAGCAAAAGAATTTTCTCAAGGGTGACCTCCAGAAACTTACCCGTCATAGGTCTAAATTCTTCATTATTGGTGATTTTAATGCAAAACACCGCTCATGGAATAATGCTCAAAGCAATTCCAATGGTAATATTCTGTTTGATGATTGTTCTGCAGGTTATTACACTATTCAATATCCAAACAGCCCAACATGCTTTTCTTCTGCAAGAAATCCCTCCACTATTGATTTGGTCTTAACTGATTCATGTCAACTTTGTAGCCAACTGGTTACCCATGCTGACTTCGGTTCTGATCACCTTCCAGTAACTTTTGAAATATCCCAAGAAATAATTTGTAATCCCAACAGCTCTACTTTCAATTACCATAGAGCTGATTGGGAGCAGTATCGAACATTTATGGAATATAACTTCGATCCAAACATTCCTTTGCAAACCAAAGATGAAATTAATTATGCTCTTGAATCTCTGACTACTTCTATAGTTGAAGCAAGAGCTGCCTCAGTACCAAAATGCGAGGTTAAATTCGATTCAATTATAATAGACGATGATCTTCAGCTCTTGATCCGTCTTAAAAATGTCCGCAGGAGACAATATCAAAGAACACGCGATCCTGCCATGAAAGTTATCTGGCGGGATTTGCAAAAACAAATTAAAAAGCGATTCTCGGCCCTGAGGAACAAAACTTTTGAAAATAATATTTCTAAATTAGACCCGAGTTCCAAACCCTTTTGGAAACTCACAAAAATTTTGAAAAAACCTCAAAAGCCAATTCCAGCGCTTAAAGAAGGTGGTAAAATTTTGATCACAAATTTGGAAAAAGCTCAGAAACTTGCTAAGCAATTCGAGAGTTCCCATAATTTCAGTTTGGGTCTTACTAGTCCTATTGAGAATCAGGTTGCTCGGGATTTTCTGAATATTTTCTCTCGGGAAAATATTTTTGATGATTCCTGGGGGACTGATTTGGACGAAGTAAGGTCTATAACTAAAAAATTTCAAAATATGAAAGCTCCAGGTGATGATGGAATTTTCTATATCCTCATCAAAAAACTCCCAGAGAGTACCTTGTCTTTCTTGGTAAAATTATTTAACAGATGTTTCCATTTGGCATACTTTCCTGATAAATGGAAAAATGCAAAAGTTGTTCCAATTTTGAAGCCGGATAAAAATCCAGCTGAAGCTTCTAGCTACCGTCCAATAAGTTTGCTTTCTTCAATAAGTAAACTTTTTGAAAAGATAATTTTGAATAGAATGATGCTTCACATCAATACGAACTCAATTTTTGCAGATGAGCAGTTTGGATTTCGCCATGGGCATTCAACTACTCATCAACTCTTAAGAGTTAACAATTTAATTCGTTCAAACAAATCTGAAGGCCACTCAACTGGAGTTGCTCTTCTAGACATAGAAAAAGCATTCGACAGTGTTTGGCATGAAGGTTTGATTGCTAAATTGAAAAAGTTTAATTTTCCACTTTATATTATGAAATTAGTTCAAAATTATTTAACTGACAGAACTCTTCAAGTAAATTATCAAAATTCCAAATCTAATCGGCTACCTGTTAGGGCAGGAGTTCCTCAGGGTAGCATTCTTGGGCCTATATTGTATAACATTTTCACTTCGGACCTCCCTGATTTGCCTCAGGGTTGCCACAAATCTTTGTTCGCTGATGACACAGGCATTTCCGCTAAAGGAAGAAGTCTTCGTGTTATTTGCAGCAGACTGCAGAAAAGTTTAGATATTTTCTCTTCTTATTTACAAAAATGGAAGATTTCTCCCAACGCTTCCAAAACTCAACTTATAATATTTCCACATAAGCCTAGAGCTTCGTTTTTGAAACCTAGTAGTAGTCACATAGTCACTATGAACGGAGTTCCAATTTCCTGGTCAAACCAAGTGAAATATCTTGGATTAATACTTGACCAAAAATTAACTTTTAAAGATCACATTGAGGGCATTCAAGCCAAATGTAACAAATATATAAAATGTTTGTATCCTCTTATAAACAGGAAATCCAAACTTTGCCTGACGAATAAACTTCTAATATTTAAACAAGTTTTTAGACCGGCCATGCTTTACGCTGTGCCAATATGGTCTAGTTGCTGCACTACCAGGAAAAAAGCACTTCAAAGGATTCAGAACAAAATTCTGAAAATGATTTTGAAGTTGCCTCCCTGGTACAGTACAACCGAAGTACATAGAATTTCGAATGTTGAGACTTTAGCACAAATGTCCAACAAAATAATTAATAATTTCAGGCAAAAATCGTTGCAATCCTCAATTGCAACGATTAATTCCCTTTATACTTAGATAAGATTTAGTTTTAGTTTTTAGTTTTAAGATATCAATTGTTATACTGACATGCAGGTTAAAAAACCTGTTTAAAATACTGAATTGCCAAGACATGAACAATGTAAAAACACTTAGATATATATCATAACAATTAAGGCTGGTACGTTACTGCAGTAACTGGAGCACCTAGGTTAAAATGAAATGTAATTTATTTTGAATTTGGAACAAATAAAGAGTTAAAAAAAAATAAAAAAAAAAAAAAAAAAAAAAAAAAAAAAAAAAAAAAAAAACCAAAACTGAAATTTACCACCGAATTAATTACACAATCAAGAAACGAAACTGAAAGCAGCAGGTAGTGCAAGGTGCATCAGACTATTGGGCTGTGGAACTGGATCAAATTTGATCCGATCGTTGAGCATTAGTCTATTCTACAGCAATTTGATCAGAGTTAGTAATTTAGCGGAATTTCACTGCTACTACCCTTGGTTGTGAAAAATCTTATCAGGGTGAAGAAATTATCAACCACCTGATAAAGACTTACTGCTCCTCCCTCTACCACAACTCTTCACACCTTTTTCCTCCACCCCTACTCCTACCTACTGCCCTTTCGGGAAGCTTGATGGATCGAAGGAGGACGGACAGCACTGTTGCACAATCACTAGCGAAACATTCTCTCAGTCTGTGGTGTTGTAGTAATATTCAGCCAAGTGAAACCAGCAACGTGTAACTGCGATAAAATTTTCAACAAATAACAATAAATAAAATGCCCCGTTATCACCGTCGCCGTCGTCGTGACAGTGAATCTTCGCTTGGGCCCTTGAACGGATGGAAGGTAGGTATTTTAAGAAAACATAAAAATACTTACACTTTATCGGCGAGTTCTCGCACTTTCCACATACTGATGAATTTATCCATTTTTAATGTGCTGTTTCAGGCTACCACTCTGCCCTGGAATCCGAATAAAAAGCAATCTTCTCCAAAAAATAACACAGCACCAAACTAAAAACAATCACCACACAAAATATTCTGACGTTTCCACCGCAGCTCTCTCGCTCGTGTCGTCGCGCGACTGCTTCGTTTTCTTTATGCTACTACTTATCCACCTTTCTCTCTCTCCCCGCGATTCTTCGCTTCATCCACACGCACACACTGCAGCAATAAAAAAAAAACTTCCAGCAAGTCACTTCCTCTCTCTCGCCGATTGCTCTAAAGTGCTGCTGGCTGCTCCGCCTATGGTCGAATCAGATCTTCCAGCAAGGTAGCACCAAACTCAATGGGAAAAAAAAATCACGGATCACTCCTTTTTCGGGTGGATTTCCACCACCACCAACACTCGCGGACGCGAAATTTTCACCGTTCCGCAACCCACGCAGGTGAAGGAATTTTCCGTCCGGATCTTCTCCAGGTTGAAAGCAGGAATCGGTTGCGATTTTTCACCTTTTTCGCACGACGAACCAGAATAACGCAACAATAAACGACGACCACGGTGGCTGATTTGGGGCTGATGACTACTCAACTCAAACTCACACGAACGACACCACGACGACTGGTTGAAGGCCTCTGTGCTTCTGGATGGACCGAAGTGACTGACTGACTGGAAAAGCAAGAACATTCACGAATACTGATGCAAATTTCGATTCTCGCGCTGTCGGTTTGTGCCAGTGTAGAAGGGTTGTCAATCGGCATTTTTATTCAGGAGCCGTATAAATTTCGGTGGGAAAGGTAAATTACACCACATGGAAAATCACGCGAAATTTTTCAACAGGACCAATGTAACATTTCCGAAAAACTGTTGAAGTTCGACAACTTGGAGAAACGAAATAACGAGGGGTTTCTACCAGCGTTACCCTAATAAAAATTGTATGGTTAATTTGCTTAACGACGTGTTCTGGGTATCATCCAAACCATTTGTGGAATAGTTCAATGATTTGGGTTATCGTTCGTTTATGGTTATTTTTTATTAGGGTAATTACCGGTCAGTGCCAGTCAGATTACCGAAAATTACTCTGATTACTTTTCAATTAATTAAAATTAATTTATTACTTTGAAATTACTTTTATTACTCTCGATTACCGAAATTACTACGATTACTTGAATAATTTTAGGAATTACTTTGGAATTACTCAATTATTCAATGATTAACAATGTTTCCAACGATGGAATAGTTAGAGAAATACGATGACATCTAAGCTCGATTAATAAAAATGAGCAGCACAGCAAAAAATAAAACTGGAATCATGTTAAACCTAGTGTTAAACTCATATTTCAAACTGAGTTTAAAAAAAGTTTAAATGAAGAGTCGGAATTTGAAAGTTTTACTGTAAATACTGTATTTCAATATAGCGAGACTCGGCTGTTGCTTTTGTTTTGATTTGGATTTGGACATTTACGCGCGCTAATGCGAATGTTCACAAAATTGGCAAACAAATCTCCAATTTCTGATTTTTCGTGATTTTTTTAGTTTAGATTCATGTTCACATGTCTTTGTGAACTTTAGTGACTTGAAGATTGTTGTGATAAGGGTAATCAAAATATTGTAACAAAAATGGTAAGTTTTGATTAGTACAAGGACTACGATGCTGACTCACTACTTACAATTTCTTGGCAGATTCATAACTCTTCTCCGAAATCGCCACCGCAAGCTGCACTCGACGCTGTACCCAGGGGGTAAGTCACTCTGCCACCTTGCGTTAACACCCACAAAAACACACTCCAAACACCTTGTCACACAGGCAGCCACCACATAACAGATAGTTTTTCATCAATCCTGGCACCACTCCCAAGAATGTTTACATCATGTGTTGTTTATAATAGACCAATCCATGATATGATTTTATCATTCATTTTTGACAGTATGATCTGCTTGTTGTTGTTCTAAACCTCTCAAATGAGTAAACAAACCAATCTAACCTGCCAAATTATTTAGAACGATTGGTTTACTTATGTGATCCAGGATTTTAGATGGCGGAAGATGTAATCGCAAAAGCGCATGCTGGTGGTCCCTCGCTTGAAAGCGTATATGCACGAAACGAAAATCAATTATTTAATTCATGTGTTTCACTTATACATTTTTGCCAAAGCATCAGCCTTATACATTCCATAAGACAAACCACATAGCTCCTATTAGAATGCATAAAAGGTATGTGTGACCGCTTATACATTTCATTTGACACATGATCTTTATTAACTTTTTGCAAGGCGTCTGCTTATTAGTTGACTTATACATTTTATAAATAATCAGCAATGGAAATTTGCCAAAAGGTATAAGGAGATTTCTATCCGTGTGGGCGGTTTGCAGGCCGAACGCATCAATTTAAATTCATCGAGGGGGAGATTTTATGCCTAATGGACTTAGTGAACATCATCCAAACTCATGGGGTCAAGACGTTTATCCGTCCGGTGAGGAAAATCGGGAAAAGTTCACATGGACAGTTCAGACACGAATCCGCTACCGATGAGCTTGACAGACTTCGGCTCAAGATTTCGGCACATTTTTCTAATCCGTTAGTATATTCTGTATCTTGTTCTGTATTATCAATTGCTATTTTAAAGTAGTTCCGAATATTTCTTAAGTCGAGCTACAAAAAGTAGGAATATAGGTGGTCAGCATTTCATCAGATGGAGATACACGACTGTTGAAGGCGATGAAGGAAAGGTCAGGGGTACCTAGCCTCTTTGCTAGTAAGGTGTATGGGCCCACTTTTCCGCCGACCTCACCGGTGAACCAGTGTGTATACAAGAAACGGTGCACCTTGTTAACAAATTACGTCACGATTTGCTAGACCCGAAGTGATGTGTTTAGGTAAAACGTTTAATTCCTATTAATAGGTATGAAAAGATGTAATATCGCATTGTACATCACTTGTAGGTCAATTCGTCGTATCGGTCACCGTTGTGCATTAAATGGTCCAGCAAGGCTGCAAAGGAATTCATCGATTAAATCCATCAGATTTAATCCCAAACGACAAAATGAAATTGGATCCTTCACTGAAGCTGATGGCAACGGATTTAATCCAGCATTTGAAGCAGACCGTTGATAGAAGCATGGGAGCAGCTATATATTTAAAGATGATGAGAAACGTACACGGCGAATGAGAACGACTCAAATTTGAGTTTAGTTCACTCATAATCGCCAAAAGTGCAGGAACTCAGCGATGAGTTAGTTTGCCTCATGTTTTCCCAGGTTTTTCCAGGATTTTCCAGGGAAAAATTCCTGAATTTGAGAAAAGTAAAGATTGGATTTACTTAGTCTATTGGTACTATTCCGAGACTGAATAAAATTTTCGTCAATTTCCTTATTTTCCGGCAGATTTTTTAGGTTTTCCACAGGAAACCATGGGACAAATTTTACTCATCGCTGAGTTCCTGCACTTTTGGCGATTATGAGTGAACTAAACTCAAAATTGAGTCGTTCTCATTCGCCGTGTATACATCGCTTTTACCGGTGAGCTCCGTCCCTCACCCATCCATCCAACAAGCAGCGGGTTTTTTGTCTGAGGAAACCTTAGCATATTTTAATATATTGCGTTTTTAATTTCGGTTTTATGCTTTTCCATTAAAAAATAAAAATTATTGATAACTAAGCCTCATTGCGAAGAACTCATCTGTTGAATCAAACCCAAACCCGGCTTGTTTGGCATTTGCTTGAAAAATTATCAAAAAAATTACTATGATGTTCTGAAATATTTACTTGGGCATTGCACTTCAACGGCCATATTCCAAGCCATTTTCTCAATGCCTGCTTTTTCCATATAGGACTGATATGCGATTATCGATATATCAGCATAGCTTAAAATCTCACTTCCATTTTTATCTTTCCACCTCTATTCCTATCTAAATCTGTTTCCTGGAAATCACATACCGAACTGAGGAAAATCACAGTGCAGAGTCAGGAAAACCGAAGACAACAATTTGTTGAAGCGCGCATCAAGAAACGCAACGCAGAAATTGAGAAGAAACATCGACTGATGGCGATGATAGAGATCAAACCTCCAAAAAGTGACGACAGGCCACGGGAACACAAGTCCGACAAGATTGATTTCACATACGATCTGGATGAGGAAGCCCTCGCTGAACTCGAAGATATCCCCTGTAGTATTGTAACCATTTTCATGTTTTACGGCCTTCGAACTCGTTAAATGCATTCTTCACGTTTTACTAACGTCCCCTCCAATCATTGGCAGTGGTCGGATTGACCCTGGTCTACCGGTGAAATTACAGTTACAGTTCCAGACGGCAGGTTATCAGCTGATGGACCAACACAGGCCATCCACATCACCATTAGCAGTATCATCCTTTACATGGCCCATGGCCATCCAGCGCAGCAACATCGTGGAAGCGTTAAACAGCAACATCAATCCGTCTGTTTCCCATTTTCTTCGGTCTGCAGGCCCACGCAGCTGAAAACAAAGTAAAAAAAAAATCAATTTCGACGTTAAATCTCGCACGTCGATTAAACACTACGACACTTACCTCCGAAACGGACCGGATGGTGGCCACAGACCGCGGTTGTATTTTTGGGATTAAATAATCCTCCTGCCCGTTGTTTTGTTCCGAAAAATTGGCGTCGATGACACTGTCGAAAAATCGTCTCTTCTTTTACGACAGTATCTTATGGAAATTTTCAGTGCAGTGAAAGGATAGTACAAATTCCGTCATGTATCACGCACAGACGGACGTTTGCTTATTGGATTATACCATAGGAGTAAAGAGCTACAGAGTCACCGTCAACGCCAATAAACAACGACGATCGCAGGGGGATCTGTCATTTTCAGTGATGTGCACAGAAAAACAAAACTACCCACCGCTTGGGTTTTTTAAACTCAAATTTGAGTTATTTGACCTCTGTCCGTTTCATTTCCTCTCGCTATTGTTGTCAAAAATAGAACGAAAGATTCGACTCAACCGTCTAGTTCCGTACAAGAAGCCAAAATTGAGTAATATGCGATATACCCAAATTTGAGTTAATTGAACTTAATTTTGGGTAGAAAAAATTGAAAATTACTTAGCGATGGGTAATTTTTTTTGCCGTGCTTAAATGCAAACTACTTTGAGCCGGTTTACCCAAATTTGGCTTATTGTACGGAACATGGGAGATGAGTGAAAAGAACTTAATTTTGGGTTGTTTTGAATTTCTGTGTGGAAGTCATGGTTGCAGATGGTTGCCAGTAAACATTGTATGTTGCCGCTTGACGTTTTGACAGCTCGTTTGACACAGAAACACCATAGAGGTACCCTAATAAAAATTGTATGGTTAATTTGCTTAACGACGTGTTCTGGGTATCATCCAAACCATTTGTGGAATAGTTCAATGATTTGGGTTATCGTTCGTTTATGGTTATTTTTTATTAGGGTAACTCTAAGACCACTGGGTCCCGAAGAAAATCATTATTATTTTTGGCTCACTCAGTACCAGAACAACGGTCCCAAGCAGTCCCAAGCTATTTCACTCACCCCTGCATGTCCTGCATGAATCCACACACCCCTGATGTTATCTGTCAAACTTTCATAGCGAATCAAAACAAACATAGTGTAGTAATAGAATTTCAACTAGAATAGGGTACGTTAATCGTTTGCTTGGGACCAATAGGCTACTAAAATGGTGAGCCAATTTAAAATCGTTAGTTTCGTATTGATTGTTGGAAACACCCTGAAACACCCAAAAACACACAAGAAACACAATCAGCACAGTCACAAGGTGGCAGAATGACTTACCCCCTGGAGTAACTGCAGTTTTTTTTTTCCAAATCTGAGTAAATTTCATATGGAAAGAAAATTCTCTGAGTCAATTAATCTCAGTCGCTGAGTTGGTATGATTGGCCGTGTACACTCAAAGATAAATTAAATCAAAAAAGCTTAAAAAGTATGCAGATTCCCGCTTCACCTTATTGAGTCCGAGCCATGATTACTTCGGCAGTAATCATGCATGATTAAAATCGAAATAATCTTTACAGTATTAAATTTTATTCTTTTCCAATACTAATATATAATCAAAAAAGATTAAAATCCAATCAAAAATTATTAAAAAAGAATCAAAAATGATTAAAATTTATTCAAAAAGAGATAATCTACAATCTAATCAACCATGATTAAACTGGGATTAATATCTGATGCTTATTTTTTAGAAAGTGAGGATTAATTTTTAATCATTCGATATGATTAAACTGAGTTTAATGTCAAATTGATTAAATTTCAAGCAAAATAAGAATAGTTAAATTTATCATTGTACACTCAAAGATAAATTAAATCAAAAAAGCTTAAAAAGTATGCAGTTTCCCGCTTCACCTTATTGAGTCCGAGCCATGATTACTTCGACAGTAGTCATGCATGATTAAAATCGAAATAATCTTTCTAGTATTAAATTTTATTCTTTTTCAATACTGATATATAATAAAAAAAGATTAAAATACAATCAAAAATTTTTAAAATAGAATCAAAAATGATTAAAAAATATCCAAAAAAAGATAATCTACAATCTAATCAACCATGATTAAACTGGGATTAATATCAGATGCTTATTTTTTAGAAAGAGAGGATTAATTTTTAATCATTCGATATGATTAAACTGAGTTTAATGTCAAATTGATTAAATTTAAAGCAAAATGGGAATAGTTCAATTTATCAGTGTAGGGTCTCGCAAAATAAAATTAAAAAAACGCTTCCTAACCAGTTTCACTGTGATGTCCAATGTGTTACTTAGTTTTGCCACAGGGGATCGCCAGTGCGCGCGTTTGTTTTGTAAACGAAATACTATTCGTTTTTCGCAACCACGAATTTTGAACAAAACTTTAATCCTTTAACATGTGGAAATCATGTGCTCTAGTGAATTAAACACCAATAATTTACGTAAAAGATCCTGTTAAGGTAATGAAAATATGGTCGACGAATGCGAAGTTTGCGGCCAGAACGAGTTCGCCGTCGAGGCCGGTTTCCACTACTGCGTGGAGTGTGGAACCAAGTCGCAACGGCACGGACCGGAAATGGTGGACGAGTTCGACGAGACCGCCGTCGGAACACAAACCGGTGCCGCGGTGATTAAGATCAAAAAAATCAAGAAAAAGTGCAAAATGATAACCAGCTGGGAGCAGATAAACTACATCCTGCTGGGCTACACGGATCGACTGGTGACGCTCGGCGCGGGCGATGAGTTCAAGCTGACGGTGTTGCAGCTGTGGACGACCTATTTGCGCCGGATGGAAGTGGCTTTCTTCGACAAGGAAAAACCGGAACGCCCCAGATTGCATGTGTTTCACAAGTCGATGTAATTCGATTTTTTAGGGGAATTAGCTTATAGAATAACGGTTTAATTTTGTTTTGTAGGGATGCTACAATACTCTACAATCGAAGGAAGAAGAAACCGCGGGTAAGGAATGCAAAGGGGGTGAGTAATAGTGCTGGTCCGGGTAGTAGACCGGCTTCGGAAGCGGCTTCCAGTACGAGCGGAAATACATCGGCAAGATCGACCAGGAAGGTGAGATCCGAACAGAGAAGTTTGCTAAACGCGGAATACGATTCGCTTCGGGTAAGTCAGCAGTCGGATGTGAACAGGTCGCTGCATGAGCTGTCGATGCGGTCGATGAATGCGAGTCTGTCGGAGAGCGAAAGCGAAGCGAGCTCCAATAAGGCTGGGGGACAGAGGATTAAGTTTTCGAGACTGGCGAGAATTAGGATGAAGCGAAAGCTCAAGATGAGTACCGATCATATAAATAAGCATGAAAAGGATTTGGATGATCGGATGACATGTCATAACAATAAGGGAAATGTTAAGTATACGGATAAACAGAAGCCGGGAAAGAAGAAAATCCATCCGGAAAACTTAACCAGGATGGTTTTGGTTTCGATACTGGGATTAGGACTGAACACTAGCCAAAGCGATGTTCAGTTAGCAGATCTGGTCCGGTTTCACAGGGAGGAACATATTTCCCATACCAATCTTAAGCAGTATCTTCCGGAGGAACTGGATCCCAGCTGCTGTACGGAGACAATCGCTTCTCTTCAAAGGGGTTTGTCACTCTCACATCAAGAACTTCGAGCGGGAGTTGTGCAGTTGATAAAATTCCTGAACGTAGATCCGATCACACCGGATTTGCAGAAGCTTTGTAAGCGCTACCTTGACGAACTCTGCCTGCCGGCTGATTTGATGATATTTCTGAAAAGGTTGATGGCTGTTTTCCCTCCTAAGATGCCCTTCGATGGTACCAGTCATCTCCCAAACTACGAAGGGCGAGCGATGGCATTTATAATTTTCATGCTAAAGCTACTGTTTGGCCTGAATGATACCACCGAGATGAAGTTGTCCAAATCAGCTGCAAAATTCAACCAGACGTTGACAAACTTGGGACCATCCTATCGGCCATTGTTTGTCTTCCGAGAATGGATTCGTTATTTGGAGATGAGAAAGGTAATTCTGGCTCAGGTGCATCACCCTACCAATCGGCTGAAGGCCAAGGAAGAAGGAATCGAACAGGACATTGATCTGTTCATAGATCACAACATGCGCAAAAAGCAAGGCGGAGATAAGTTTCGAATGTCCGTCAATCAAGTGAATCAAAACTGGATGTCCAGGATGAAGGATGCCGTCACAAACATGGTCGATACTCACCATCGTCTTAATGTGACTCGAGAACCACAACAAAGCATTGAATTTGAGCCAAGCCTTACTTCGAATCGGTCCTACTTTGAAACATTCCTTCTAGCATACAACCGCGAAGGCAGGATCCATGTTCCGGACTATATGCGGGAGAATCATTCAGATCGAGCCATCTTCCCACTCGTCAGTCCATCGGATCTCAAACAACTCCTCCGAACCGATCACCAAATCACTCTCAAAACGAAGAAAGTGCCTTCTGCCTTATCCCAGCTTGAATTAGTCGATACGGCAGTCCTGCTCGATTTCCTGACCAACAAAGGACGACGAGAGCCTCCCTTTCAGTTTATCGAAGACTGCGAAGAATCCGAATGGACCCCACCCGCCAAACGCACACGCTCAGTTCAAACCCACGAACAGATCCTGGCCCGGATTCTCATTCGCAATAAAGCCGAGTCCGAACGAACCCAACATCTCTTGAACTCCCTCCCATCAAACCCTGCCCCTTCGGAAGCGGATGAAACGGCTACCAACGTCACTATGAGCACCATAGCAGACAAGTCCAGCATTCCTGATTCGCAGGATTCCTTCATCCCACCGTACCAAAACAGCACCCACTCTCTGCTGACACCCAACTACGACTACTGGATTCGGTTCTCCCAGGCCGGTGAAATCAGTTCGATGGAAACATTTGACGAGCGGATTTCCACCGGCCTACCGAACAACTTCCGTCTGGTGCTCGAGGAATGCGCCCGGGTGATCGAGAATCACCCCTCGGTGCTCTACCGCGAGCTGATGGCCCTGGAGACGTATTTCTTCTACGCAGTACAACCGGTCGAGCGGTTCTTTGATGGAACCAAGCACTGCGAGGTGCAGCTAGAGACGGCATGGACGCGAGATCCGTTCTTGTTTAGGCGGGTTTCCAGTGCCGTGAAGGACTATTGAGGTTTGATTTTTTTTTTAAGTGTGGATGAATTTTGAATTTGCCGTGTATTTTTCGTGAGTTTAATTGTAGCAGGCATCCGAAATGTCCTCGGTCGGTTAGCGACAATTTGGTTTATCTTCTGATTCTGATGAATTACATCTCAGCACCGATCACGACGATGTATAAGTCCGAAATAATTGCGAACGCGGGTACGAGCTTTCCTACAGTCCAGCAAAATATGACGAACGTTGATGATGGTGCCGCAGCATTCACATACGGGTGGGTCTGTTCTTTTGATCAGGCACTCGTGGGTAAGTCTGGTATGTCCGATCCTTAACCGGGTTAGGATCCGTTGGTCTACTAGATTTTTGGTGTCATTCAACGTTTTTGGATTGGATTGCCGCCTCGATACTTTGGATCCATGGGTGTTTGGATCTACCCGTCTCCTGTGCAGATAAACAGCTGGCAGAGTCCGTTAGAATGGTTATTTGTGTCTTGCGTGCAGTGTTAAGTGCTAGGTTGAGGGCACAGGCTTCTGCTGAGAAGACGCTGCAGCATCTTGGCAGGGCGTCGGATTTGGTGGCGCCTATTCGGAAAAGGCCTGCGCCGAATGTATCGTCGCCTTTGGATCCGTCAGTGTATAGCAGGGTACGTCCTTGAAAAAGTTGCTCGGTTGCCTCTTTTTTTCGGACGGACTTTTTCTGGGGGGTCCCCAGCCCTAGTAAACTTTTTGACATCCCAAATGATCGTTGGATTTGGAACATTCCATTCGCGGTCGGTGTTCCTATGACGTTGGCAGATTTGGGGGATAGTTGCATTGGTTTCTTCGGTGAAAAGCTCTGCTGTTCTTTGTACGACTGGATGCTCGGAAGAATCGCTAGTTTTCTTCAGAAGGCGAATAGATAGTCGTGCTAACGACTGTACGATCCAGTATGACTCCCAAAACTTTAAGCTGCTTTGTTTTTGGAACTGGAATTCGATCGATGGTTATGTCTTTCTTAGGCTGCCGACGAGCATTAGGGCTACCGTAGATGTTGTTTGATTTGTCCGACGATATACCCATTTATATACTACGGCGTTAACAGCAATCTATAGTTTCCGACCTAAGAGCTGGTTCTTTCGGCCAATAAGATGTCGTCCGCATATAGACAGGTTGAATTGCCACGAGGAACAAAGTGACAGACAATACAGAACGTTGTGGGACTCCGTTCTCCAGTGGATATAGGCCTGAGTGATGTCCTCCTACAGCTACCTTACCTAAGTTCGGTCCACGAGGAAGCTGTTTAGAATGTTGTACATGCGCCCCGCTACTTGCCATTGCTTCAGTAACCGTAAAATTCCGTGTCTCCATGTGGTGTCGTAGGCTTTGGATAAGCCCAAAGACGCGATTAAGCAATGCTCGTCCTTTGCAGGTACGTATCTTTCAAGTTCGGCGAAAGGCGTGTCAGTACCGTGGCCGGATCGGAAAGCGTGTTGGCGTTTATCAAGCCTTCCTTCCGATTTTAATTCCGTGTCGTCTGTTATCCATATTTTCGAAGACTTTGGACAGGCAATTTATAAGAGTAATCGGTCAAAAAGTAGCAGGTCCGGTCTCAGTGGAATTCGGCTTCGGGATTGGAACGATGACTCCTGTTCGCCAGCTGATTGGGAAGACTCCGCTGTGCCAAATACGATTCAGCAACTCTAGAAGCGCGGATGGTCAGACCCGCATCAAGAATTTTCGCCACCAGTCCCACGCTCGCTATCATGGCCGAGGCTGGCGTGTTACCATTCGACTTGCTGGTCCTACAGTCGTTAGCACGAATATCTATTCGCCTTCTGGAGAAAACTTGCGATGCTTCCGAGCTTCCAGTCGTACAAAGAACAGCATAGCTTTTCAGCGAAGAAACCAATGCAACTATCCCCCAAATCTGCCAACGTCATAGGAACACAGACCACACAGAAGGGGATCGGTGTCCATACAAAGGCTACCATCTGGCCGTAGTAGTTTTATCAGTGGTCATTTATCATGTTTGATTCCGTAACGCTTTGAAACTAATGTTTTGCCCGACAACAACTCAGCAGCACGAGACTCCTTGAACTGTGTCTCAGAGTCGGCGCACTACTGGGCAAACTGGAGGGGCTACGCGGATGAAAAGGCACTCAAGCTTTCAATTAAACTGAAACACAACGCGGATCAATTTAAAAACTGTATTTCTCCAATTACCGATAGTGTGGATTGTGTGGTGTTGTGTTCGATTTTCTTGACACATACCCTTGATGACGATGGCGACTGCAGACCAGCGAGTGCTCGCTGTGGTTCCGGAAAGATCCTTAAAGGCCGACCTTGTCGGCAAGATGGCGGTACCACCGCTCGGTGAAATTCCGGTACAATTCCGACAATGGCGGACGAAGCGAGGCTGACCGAACGTCGGCCGTAGTGCGATGGCGGGTTGGTTTTACCGGGGCTGGTATAGCGGTTTGTGGAGATGGCTCCGATGCACAGGCGCTTCCTTCTGACGAAGCCGGTCGACGACTGACGAAGCCGGTCGAACCGGGAAGGGAAATTCTCCTTGGCGTTTAGGGCCTTCAGCCCTAGAACGATGTCCTTTACGGTTAGGTCTGGGTAACTAAATGTCACCTAGACCGTAGCGTGCAATGGCGGTCTTTGACTCGCCAACCAGAAAACCATTTGATTGGTTGAAAAGAAAAGTCCTGAATCAGCTGAATTGGTGAATTCCACTTCACCTTGATTCACTACTCGCACTGTATTCTGTTAAAATGTATTCCACAGACACTTCTGGTCTACACGCTCGCCTGAGGTAAAGTGAACGATGGCCGTTCTCTAAGCATCGCAGAACCCTTGAGCTCATCACCCGTGACTCCGTGTCACCATTTTGCCGCGGCCATGCGCGCCTTATTCAGCAGTCGACCGTTAAGCATGGCCGTATCGTCTGCCCAGTGGGTTTCACCGCAAGTGTTACACAAATTTATTTGAATGCTCGATCACATGGTGCATATTTAAAATATTGTATTGAACATTTGTAACAGAACGGTTACAGCTTCACCACTTCGTTGATCAGCCAACCGACATTCACTTTCTTGATTCGTTCCTCATCTTAACTGACATCGATGAATTCGCCTTCGATGATCACTCGGACCATGTTCGGAGGTATAATCCTACCATCGACAGCGCCCCAGCTTTTTGCCAGATACATCATACTTCTCTCCATTTGTCCGATCGTTGGACTATCTTACCGTGTGGACATATTAAACCCCACCTCCAAGTATGATTCCGGTAATACTCCCACTAGAACGCTAGCGACGCATCTTTGACTGAGTCGATGGCTTTAGGGAAAAGCGTCCATCAGAATCTGAATAGCATCTGGACCAGTTTCATCTGATGATGCACGCTCGCTTCGTCTACTTACCATCGTCACCTGTGGTTCATCTATGGTACATCCGAGTCCTCATCATACTCCAATCCAGTAGAAGTTATTGTCCTGTCGGTTAGGTTGTTAGCGGTTGTTAGTTGGGATTTTTTCCTTATTATAGATTTGAATAGATTTTTTGTTATATATCTTTATTAAGGAGACTTTCAGTCCTGGGCTGGTTCGTCTCCCTTGAATAGATTTTTCTCCTTTACTTTACTAAAACTTTTGGTTATTATTAGTTAGGTAGGTTCCTATTCTACCTTCAGATTTAAATAAAATGCTCCATTTGTAAAATACACTCGTATACCTCCCCGAGGAAAATTTTGAAACCACCAGCACTTTCATAGTTCTTCTATTCTCCACGAGTACCAACTTTGATTTGCCAATTAATCATTTTGTTCGACCATGTTCCACACAGATGGCGTTGTTCCGCTGGTAGGAAGTGATAAAAATCCCCATATAGAAATTGAGAAAAGTGCGAATAATTCGCCTCCGGTGCATATTCAGGTCAAAAAAAGTGAACGACAACCTAAAGAAATTAGTCAGGGGCTTTGTCGTTCAGTTTTTTCCCGGAAATTAATGCTCAACAAGCTACAATTAAATAAAAATGATTTTTCCCCATACAATTTTACCTGCTTTACTACCAATCCCCAGAGAGCCAAAAAAATTCAAATTTGAGAGAGAAATTCTCTCTCACGAGCTCAATCTCTCAACATGCCATGTATTCTGTTGACACTCGATTTGTGATTTCCCTTTCACAGATTACAAAATAGAGTACCTGACACTACAAAACATGTCTGGTACCTCTATATATGCATTTGCTTTAACATTTAAAGTCCCTCCTTTTTTACATATTCTGCGCAAAAAAAACTTTATGCCCCGCCCCATACATAAAATTCGACGGGAAATTAAGTGAGGGGTGAGCTATTTGGTGTGCAGAATGTGTAAAAAAGGAGGGACTTCGAACAATAATCTAAATGCATATATAGAGGTACCAGACATGGTTTGCACTGCAGTGTCCTCTGTGAACAATTATAGGAAAACAGATTGTGCCTAGTTTCCGATAGATGTCACCGCAAACAACAGCAGTGACATCTGATGGAACATGAAAGCAGAAGCTTGAAAAAATGATCAATAGGCCTTTTTAATAGAAACTAAACGATCGATTCAACCTCTGGTGGTGAATAGGAGAACGTCAAAAAGAGTGTTGTGAGCATAAATTTTTACCTTGAGACGTAGGCAGCGGAACACTTTTTTACTTTTCCTGTTAAATTGATTCATCTGAGATGCTGCAAAACTTAATCTACAGTTGAAAAATTTAATTCTGTAACGTTTTTGAAAATATCCTGCTGGTGTTCAGGAATATTTTTGTTGAGAAAAATGGAAAATTAGGAAAGTGCCTTAGTGGTTATGATCTTCCGAATTTCTTCTGTGTGAATAGTTAAGGTGAAAATCAGTTCAGATTTGTGGAAAATCGTACAATAAGACAATTACCGATGGAAATTTGCAAGATTTTGAATGAAAAATGCTGTTATTTGCGTTGGGGAAAATACTTATTCTGATGTATACAAACGGTTTGGTTGACGTTTCTTTTCGAACTCGCGTGGCGCACTCTACGTTGGTGGTGCATTAAAAAGGCGTATTAACGACGACGATTTTGGGCGGCCGGAGCCGGAAAGCGACAGCAGGCAAGAAATGGTGGATGCTTTGTGCTAGTCACAACTGTCGGATCTTCGGAATCGAAAGCGCAAAGCCATTCCAAGCGACGAACAGACGAAGA